TGAACCGTCTACGGAGCATACTGTGGTCACCTCCTGTTGGGACAGTTTCTCAAAAGTTTGAGTGAAGTCCTGTGTATTGTTTCACACCAATTGGACATTGTGCTTCAGCATTCGTGGTGTGAATTTTACCGGACTTAATTGCTCCTCTTCGAGGTTCACTTTCCTTTGGTCAGTTACGGAGAGACCTCTTGTGAATTCCTGTGTATTGTTTTACACACACACACACATTGGACTCTCTGTGGATGAACATTGCTTATGTGAATTTCCCTGAAATCCTTCGTTATTTTTCTGGGATTTATTTGCATTTGAAGAATCTACAGAGCGACACGTCGTTCATCTGTTGTTGGTATGATATCTTGAAGGTGTTGTGTGAACTACAGATTGTCCAAAATGGCGTGTGTTCGACTGCCGAAGTTCGTTGAGAGTCACCGTGTGAGTGCAGCGGAGGCTTTAGGTGTAAGAGAACTTCGTGTTCTGGGGAGGGGCGCGTCTTCAGAAGTCGTCCTGGCAGAAAAAAAAGTCTAGCACAGAAGGCAAGAAGAAAGCTCTGAAAAAGATCGTGTACGATGAAATGGAAAGCCTTAGTGATAAACTCAAGAAATTGTCTGTCTACCTCAACGAGGTAACCATCCTAAAAGAGCTGAGTCATCCAAACATCGTTGAACTACAGAAAGCTCTCAGCTGTCGAGAAGACCTAGATCTCGTGTCGGAGCCACACAGCTCGGATCTAGTCAGTGCCCTACCTCGTCTCACAAGCTCTGATGTCATTCGCTACTTCACTCAGACCGTCAGCGCCTTAATAACCTATCTCCATCAGCGCCGAATTGTGCACGATGACGTGAAGCCACAAAATGTACTCATTCATCAATCTGGAGAAATGGCCAGATTATGTGACTTCGGTTTTGCTCGGAGACTGCCTGAGAACTAGAAAAGCTGCACCAGATGGTTTGGAACCCCTGCCTACCTGGGCCCGGAGTTTACCAAAGGTCAACCTGTTCAAGACGTCTATAAACTAGAGAGTTTCGCTCTCGGCAGGATTCTGTTCTTACTGTTGTTCCGGGAAAGGGCGAAGATGAGGGTGGATTATCTCCCTCTGATCTACAAGGACTCCACGATACCCGACACGATGAGGGCATGTGCACAACGTTTGCTAGAACCTTCACCGACAGAGCGTGCTGCGACCTGGGAGATAGATCTGTTTCTCACACAAACCTCCAATTGGGCTCCATCGAATTGACGTAAAATGCTCCCTATGTGAATGGACGTAATACATGTACTGGGAAAAAGGGGGATTGAGAGAAAAACGAAACAAAAAAAACTCTTTTTGGGTCATAAAATATTTTGATGCATTTCCATTTCTTTAGGTAAAATGATGCAATGAAGATCAGCATTATCTGCAATTTCATAAGTGGGTTCAACGGATACAATAATATTCTATCAAGATTATAACGAACATTATCTGCAGTTTCTTGGGGTGGTTAAAAAGATAGTATTATTGTCCAATGTTCAACCAATATTCTTAAGTGCTTTAAAGCTTATCATTTTTATAAGTATTATCTAGCGATTCACAATGTGGTTTGAAATGACATAATCATTAGGAAATAATTCAATTGATGCTCGTATGTACAGTGAAGATTGTAGAAATACATGTATTATCTATCATTTCATGATGTAGTTTGAAGAGACAGCACAATGCTGCAATAATTCAACAGATACTGATATGTGCTGCTAAGATCATCATTTTTATACGTATTATCTGCCATTTCCAAATGTGTTTAGAAAAGACAACATTTTATTCTACTATGTATCATGAGTGTGCAGCAGTTACAGCAGATTTATCAGTGATTTATACATTGTAGTTGTGGTGACGGTGATAGAAACGAACAATGTCTCCCGTGTGTGTGTGTGTGTGTGTGTGTGCGCGTGTGTGTGTGCGTGTGTGTGTGTTTGTATGTGTGTACGTTTGTGTGTGTTTATGTTTGTGTGTATGACTGTGATGGAAACAAAACAATGACTCCCACCCACCTGCTCTTATTTCCTTTCACTTTCGTTTTCAGTAAGAGACAGGGACAGTGTGGGAGACATGTTTTTTTCTGATTAGGCTTCGGTGTAAACAGAGATTCTCTCCCCCCCTCCCCCCCCCCTCTCTCTCTCTCTCTCTCTTTCCTTGTTTCTTTCTGTCTCTCCTTCTTTCTCTCTCTCTCTCTCTCTCTCTCTCTCTCTCTCTGTCTGTGTGAGTGTGTGTGTGTGTGTGTGTGTGTGTGTGTGTGTGTGTGTGTGTGTGTGTGTGTGTGTGTGTGCGTGTATGTGTGTGTGATCACTGGTTCATTTAAAACAATTTTTTTGGGTAAATCAAACGAAATGGAAGGAGACCAAGAAAGTGATTGTTTTGCTGCATCAGTTCCACACCTGGAAATGTTTGTATTATATCTGTGTTCTAATAAACGTTTTTACAAAAACTATGCCAGTGCCCTTTTTGCCCTTGTTTTTATATGTATACAACACTGTCTTTTTATATGTATAAAACTGTCTATATTGCTATTTTAATTCGTCTGTGGTGCAACAGTTAGTTTCTTAGCTATTGCAAATAGAAGACATGAGTTCGATTTCTGACGTGAAAGTAAAGTGAAAAATCTATTTTAAATTTGTTGCTGCCGCTGCTGTTGCTGTGGTTCTTTTTGTTGTTGCTGCTGCTGCTGTTGTTGTTGTTGTTGTTGTTGTTTTTAATTTTTGTTTTTGTTGCTTTTGATATTATATTTTTGTTGTTATTGCATTTGCTTTTGAACGGCATCTCTGGTGTCGCAGTTAGGTGCTTTGCTTTCACATGCAGAAAACCGGAATTCGACGTCCTATATATCTCCATCTTCTCCTTTTTATGGTTGTGTTGTTATTTTCAATACTGACTCTTCCCAACTCTTCATTATTTGTAATAAATTCATGCCATTTTATTAATAGACTTCTTCGTAAACATTTTGTTTATAAGCTTTTTAATTTTCGTTGGATTGTTTTGTTTGTTTTCCATATCTCTGAACCATACGTCAATACAGCCAATATATTGCTATAGTATATTTTTAGTTCCGTCTCCAAATAAATGACCTTTGACTTCCGAATAGTTTATAATTTCACAAAAGCATTCCATGCATTTTTAAGTCTTGGTGAACGTCGTCAAAGCAGTCTGCAGTTTTGGATGTAATGCTGCCAAGGTACTAGAATTTATTAATTTCTGCAAGGAGTTCTCCATAAAGAGTGATGGGCGTAGTTTTTGATGATAGTCTTAGTATTTCTGTTTCAGATACTCATAATTATTAGAAGGCCAACTTTTTTTCGCAGCTTTTGCTAGATTGTTTTTTAAAATTGTATTTCATGTACATGTACTGTGGTGGCGGGAGGAGCGACCCTTGAGGACCATTTTCTGTGTTTGTTGCCCGAGATCAAATCTAAGTACACATATAAGTTAGGCATAGTAAAATCTCTAAATGCGCAATTTTATTTTGGCATAGCTACAGCGGTTGCTGTGGAAACGGCCGCCGTCTTAAAAATAAACAATGAATTTCAAACCCCTAAGGCTTTCTTATTTACTGACCAAATTTGACCAAATATTGTGGGAGTGTACCTGAACCAGACCCTATTAGCGTAATGGCGAGTTTAAAAAAAAAATAAGTGCAGAAGAAAAAAAAGAATTTTCCTAATGTATTAAAAAAAAAAATTATTTAAAAAATTAGGTTGCGTAATCGCTTACCAATGGAAAAGTGTTACTCTTTTCGCAACTATCTCTCTCTTACATTGGTGGTAGCCTTGCTATCTATGTTTACTCAATGTTTCATGTCAAAAGGATGAAAACTATGGAAGGAATAGAAAACAAAACTGCAAAAAAATTACATTTTGAGAAAAACGACAATTATTGTGAAAATTCACTATACCCTCATGTTTTCAAAGGCAATTTACAAGGAGAATAAAGACTTTCTCAATTGTCACCATGCTTTTTTTTAGATAAAGAACTGGTTGATCTTAAAAAATCAGCAAACATCTCAATTTACATAGCCTGACCAAAAATTGGCAAAATCAAGAGCCTTTATAATAGGCAGATTTCACCTGTAAAGGGGCGGTAATACCTCATGAAAAAAATTCATACAACACTTTGTATGAGTTGTCTCCCTTTGCCACGGCTGCTGGGGGTTTTCTTGTATTAATGACGTAAGATATTACTCTTCTGCACTCTTAGCACCTGAATTGGGAAAAACGCCAAAAATGCCTGGGTTATCTCTCCTGATAAGTGACAGCTGTGATACGCGTTTCTTGAAAAAAACAAAGTTTTTCTCCGTCGAGCAGGAGTAAATTGCGCGCGCACAGATTCGTTCAAAATAAACGCTAAAAATACATTTTAAGTAAGAGAGAGGGGGAGAAAAAAAGGAGGCGGGGTGGGGGGGTGATCTACAAGGACTCCACGATACCCGACACGATGAGGGC